TTCGGAGAGAGAGAGGCGGGGGTGGGTTTGGGGCTGGAATGAATTCGTGGGATGCGTTGGTGTCGCCAGCGCCAACCAAGTTCCGTTGGCATGCGCAGGGGAAGAGAAGTTGGGGGGGGGTGACACGACATTAGGAGTGGTCGAAAGACTCGACATTTATGTAAGTCGCCGGCAATGTCCCCTGCAGAGCTACGCGCCGTGTACTCATGTCGAACGTGGACGATGAGGGGTCGTCCATTCTTGCCGAAGGCGTGTGTGGGATTGCGTTAACCGTTCCCGATGGTTATCCGCGACTGCCCTTCTTTCCGCGCTGCATCCCTGTTATCGCAGGCTGTAAACGAGTGGTTGGCGTCTGAGGCGCTTGTGGGCCAAGCATCGGAAGGGAGGGAGTCACTTCCACCCGGACTCATCCATGGACTCGGCCGGCTAGCCTCCCTCGGGAATAGCCCTGCTGTCGGCCCTCCCCCGACTCCTTGTACCGGAGTGACCTCCCGAAGCTTGGGTGAAGCCACGACTTGCGGGCCGTCAATTGGTCGCCTCACCTCATTCTTGGATGGGGGCGCGCGTTGGTCCGTACATAAACACTCCGGGCAGGGTGAGGGCTTGTGTATGTTCGCCTAGGTAGAGACCTACGATCACTTTGATTGCTCTCACGCCCGGTGATTGTGATGTCCCTATCACCAATAGTCTATATCATCAACAACATACCTCGACCCTGCTCGCCCTCCCGTTGGGATGATCCCCCTTAACTTTGGCGCTATCTTCAGCCTTGCCTCAAATGCTTCATTTACCGCCTATCCCTGACTCGAGCAGCCTCACCATTGTCGTCGTATAGCTTGACAATCCTTGTGTGGACCTCGACGTCGTGAGGGTCTCTTCGCCACCCCCAACCCCTCGTGCAATCCCGCACACCATGACGAAACAATGGGACAAGTACCGGGAGGTCATCACTGCCGAATACAAGGACCAAAACAAGCCGCTCCATGAAGTCCAGCGTTTCATGGCGCAGAAATACGGCTTCAGGGCGTCGTATGTGCAGACCCTCCTTGCATGATCCTCGAGACTGGGGCGAGCGGAAGAAAAGGCATACTGCTCCGGCAGGTATCTTGTGGTGCCCACAGCTGATATCGTCTTGTATAGCACCCGCGCGTATAGGTCACGCTTCGACAGGTGGGGAATCCACAAGTACTCGCGTCGCAGGGGCATGGGCGACATGAGTCTCAGCAGACGGCCATCGATATCGGAAGGCGACATGCGTCCCTCTCCACGACAAAGTCCAGATATGGATGAGGGCAGCCCGCAGGCAGCCACTCCGGCCGTCGCAACGTCAGCCGGGTTGTTCCCTCCCGGAATGTGCGTAGCGACATCAGGAGCCGGTTTTCGGAGGTATAGTTCGGTGCCAGTGCCGGCGACGGTTTGGTGATCAAGGGCTGATCGAATCCCTGTCTTCAGTTCCCTCTGCCTCGCCAAATCGGAGTATCCGTACACTCCAATCACGCCCTCGCCCAGCCCGGCTCTGGCGCATGGTGCAGCGTTCTCCATGGCCCAGTACGGATGCGGGCTCCCGCAGTTCGGCGCTCAGAACATTGGTTGCTACTCCCCCAATTCTGTACCAATGTACCGACAAGACCCGCGCGACGTGGTGATTCTATCTTCGGACGTATCGGGATCGGACCAGAGCAACATCCCCATGGGTGGCATGTCGGACGGGTATGGGTATTCATTAAGGCTCCTCACGGGCCAAGAGTAGCGCTTGCGTCATCTCGTAAGTGCCGGTGCTCGTCTTAGATGTTTTCACTGATACAAGGGCGGATGTTACGATTTTCCGAGTTATGGCCATCAGGCCGGGGTGCAGCCGGGAATAGGGGTCACGGATTCCAGGGTCCTGACTGGACCAAGCGAGGGGGAAGTCGAGCGTCGGGTGGGTGCTCCTCCCCGCCCAGCTCTGGGGACTTGCCTCACTTAATTTAGGGCGGATGGTGCGGGTAGTCGGCGTTGGTTTTCGTTCACAGGCGGGTCAGTTGGTAGATAATGTACGATTGCGGTGAGGGCTGGCTCGGGGGCCTGCAGGGGAAGGGTAACCAAACAGTGAGTTGGTGATTTATACGTTCGCTTAACAACATCAGTCGTCGTCTGCGTCGATTTCATCCATCCGGCGTCGGGTGTGACCTCTCTCCTTCTTGATGTTGATGGATTTCCCGACAATCATACTAGAATCATCGTCTTCGGGCTCAATATCAGAAGTGTCATCGACTCCTCGCCTAGCGGCTTCGGCGGCCCGCTTGACTTTCCGAAGAACCACCTCATCCAGGTACAGGTCTTTGATGCGCAGGTCCTAGGGCTATGTTAGTGTGTGAATGATTACGACGGCTAGAGCCTCTGATGGAATCGTACCTCGGAGCAGACAGGGCATTTCGCCATGCCGCCATTACTCTGGATGAATTCCATGATGGCCATCTTTTCAAATGTGTGCCTGCACCGGTGGTTGCTGTAGGGTTCTTTCATAATCTGCAATGATAGCGGACACTTTAGATCGATGATTTCGCGCTCGACCACGAGGTCGTCGTCCTCGTTTGCATCCGCCACGGCATCCTTGGTTGGCCTCCCATGCTCGTCGAACCAGGTCGACGGATCGGGAACGGGGACCTGATCCTCCGGGTGTAGCGCATCATGCCAATTCTTTTTGAACGAGATGTAGTCGTTGTTGGTGGCATACCGCTGGTGGGGGCTCAGAGCGTCGTATTCGTCCATCTTGGCTTTGCGGGCGGCTTCCAACAGCTCCCTCACGCCGGCCAATGGAGGTACATCCTCAGCGGCTGTCTCGCCTTCATCCTCCTCTTCCTCTGCATCTCCGGAAGCCGCGCCGCCGTCTTCGATCATCGCTGCACAGCCGCCACGGCCGTTTTATTCTTGGGAGGCTTGGGTCTCCCGGCCGCGGCCGCTTGAGCATTCTAGCCCATTCCCATAACCTGCTCCAGCATCCGCCTGATGGTACCTCGAAGTTCGGCGCGGGCAATCGATCACCCAACGCAGCGCTTGCTCGGAAGAGTCGGTCAAACTCGGTGATGGTCGCATCCAGCTCGGCCCACGTACTCCTCCAGCGACGACTGGACATCACTCGTGCCCTCCTCGCCACGGGCCCGCCGCTTCTCAATCATGTGAGCGAGCGAGCGCTTGCGAGCAAAGAGAATGTCATTGATGCTGCCGACGCTCTCGAACAGGTAGGTGGACGATTTGGAGAGGTGGGCTTCGTACTGGCGCCTCGCACTGTCTGTCTCACGGCTACCGTTGAGAGCTGCGAGCTTCCGCTTGAATGTTTCGTCCATGGGATGTGACGGCGGCTCGTAGGGCGGCAGCTCGAGGGGAGCATCGTCAGGCGGCTGCTGTCCAGATGACGCCGCGTCGGGTCGACGGGTGCGCTGCAGAAGTCGCGGCATGGTGGGGCCGACAAATCAATGAAGATCTTGTGGAAGGTAGTCGAGTGTCTTGGTCGGGGGCCAAAACGTGTCGTAGTGTAATCAGCATTCGCATACAGAGTTGAGTGGTTATGCGGTGGAGCCCAGTCGAAGAGAATCCATAGAGCCCTTTGACACCACGACAAACCTCTGTGCTGCTTCAGACGCGTGGGTAGGAACCAGACGCGACGGTGGGGGGTTTAGGTGCTGTGGGTCCTTCGGTCTTGGCCATCTCAGGATCGAGGATCGACACTGGGCGATTGCACAGTACAAACACAGTGTTTTATTCACTGTGTTTGCAACGATGACGAAAGGCACATTGATGATTGCATCCTGCCTCAACACCACTGCAGGGTATCTATCATGTCACTGCTTCAGGTCTCACGGCTAGGCGGGCCGCTCTATACCTAGCTTTCATGTTTTGAGCAAACTGGAATGGCAGCGAATAATGGATGTACATATACTCGCAGGCAAAGTCGAGAGCAGCAAACCCAAACAATGCCCCAGGTCATTTCACTCTCTCCCCATTCCCGATCCCATGCATTCTGGCATCTAATGCCATCATATCGTGATGCAGTTTCAGACGAGGAAATCGCGAAATAGACAAAAAAGCTCCATCCGCTTCTTTGGGCCAAGAGTCAACGAAGATCCTTGCGACGTGCCGCAGTCTGATGTCAACTCCTGCATCGATCCCAACTCCGATCGCCACGACCTCAGATCGGGATAAAGGGCGGGCCCATCGGTAAGTACCCCCGTACCTCCCAGGCCATCGAAAGAGTTCGCTAACTCGGTGCATCCGATACCCACTTCCCAATAACCGGTCTACTTATCTGGCACATCCGGGTGTCTGTGCCTGTCTCGAGCTGCGTTGGCGGGACATGACCCCTGACGCGATGACATAGCCTCCAGCCCGATCTCAGGGACCGCCGATGCATCTGATAATCGAGTGGGCTGGGGATCGGGGAGGCACAGGTGCATCGCCAAAGGCCATCAGACCAACAGCCCCCCATGAGGAACATGCTATCAACAATTCCCCCTGGACCATGGTATTCTCCGCTTTCCCATCGCCGCTGGTCGAAATTCCCTCCTAGGTCTCGATAGTCTGGACCGCAAATGTTCTGTCATTGTGCGTTTTACCGAGTACCTGTGATTTAATCCTTGTTTTCCACGGCCAGTTCTCCGTAACATTTGACTCGCACAAGGCTGCCTTTGGGCTCGATTGACCACACGATGCTCGATCCGCTTCTCGACAGTAGTACATACCTAACGGCAATAACGTCAAGCTAGCTGAGATATTCATATATCATACTTGATTTATGCAAATACCTCCCATGGCTCATGCCCTCCCGATATTGTGGCTTAACTGCACACTACTTCTCGCAATGGTATAAAGGATAGGTTTACATTCCCATTTTCCGCCCCTCGCCTGTCAAAACAAGCACCCAATTCTATCAAACGACATAAGCAAAGCCGGTACTCGATGCCCTTGCTAGTAAAGCCAATCTGGTCACATCAACAAGTTCCCACGCAGCCTCTCCGCCAGGCTCCCACTTCACATCCCACCATGACCACCCACATGAACACCTGGGAAGAGCAAGCCATGATTGTATTCCCCCCCATTCTGTGTTTCTGTGTTGTGTGTTTGCTCATAGAGAATAGGGGCAACTCTCGAACCCGCGAATCCAGGATCCGCTCATCTACCCGGGCCTCTACTCCCCGAGTGGCATCGACATTCTCACGATTCTGGTTAGTTTTGCTGACTCTATTTTGTTTTCCCCTTATTCTGTTTGCCCCCGCCCCTCAGTATCACACAATTCCCGCTATCTTTCCCTTTTACCCTCTCTCCCAACACCCTTCACCCCTTTTGTTTACCCCCCCTTCCATCCTTCCGCCTCCCTTCAACCTCCAACCTCCAACCTCCAACCTCCACCCTCCAACCTTCACCCCCATCCCCCAACCCACCCAATCATTCCTCACCCCCCCCACTAAGCCCCACTCCATCTCCCAGACGGCCATTCTACAGCCGGCCCCAAACTCACCGTCTCCCTCGGGGCAATCGACGTCTTCTGCGACCTTGCTCATCGACGACTTCGCCAGAACGGAGCAGTCCATGATTTACGCTACCCAAGCCCTTTACAGGTCCTGGACGGTAGACCCCGGGAGCGCTAGACGGATGTCGATTTTGCAGGCGCCGCCTCCTCTTGTTTCTGCTCCTGTTTCGAGGCTCGTTTCTGGGGCTGGGGGTGGTGGTGGTGGTGGTGCTCTTCTTCGGGGGGGAGAGCGCGGGGTGAAGGTGGGTGGGGGTGGGGGTGGGAGTGGGAATGGATACGGGGTGGCGCGGAGGAGGGGATATGGCGTGGATATGGAGGTGGTGAGGCGGATGCGGGCGGCCGTGGAGATGCGGCGCGAGGTGCAGGTGGAGGTGGTCAATTACAAAAAGTCGGGAGAGCCGTTTCTGAATGTGCTGAGTATCATCCCCTTGAGGGTGGCCTCCAGGTTGGATAAGGGTGGTGGGGGAGGGGGGTTGGATTTGTCGGTGGGGTTTTTGTGTGATGCTGCTTCGCTTGAGTGAGGTGACTGAGGCGTCTTTAGGTCACCGGAAGGGAAAATGTGCTCGGCTGAGCTGGCGTTTGGTCGTCTATTTGTTTTTATTTGAAGACGTATTGCTGGGATACCCTCGATGAGTTATGACTTGTTTTCTCTCCTTCGGGTGTAGGAAAGTTGGTTTACGGAAAACGGATTTGTTTTTGGAAGCTATATCTGTGTATCCAGACAACCTATTTACAGGAAATTGTACTTCTTAAGAACAGAGATATTCGTTGCCATACACATACCATGCCACACCCCTATCGCACCTCTAGCTCTACGCTTACGCTGGGCAGTACCACACGAGGAAGCCATGACCTCTTACGGCTGCTTAAAGGTCGAGCCAATGGGGCCAAACTTGATGTTCGCTACGGTCGCAGTCAGTAATTAAGCATTTCCATCAGACAAACCGCAGACTTACAGTAGATGACCTGGTTGCTGGCCTGGCTGGCCTCGATGTCGCTCGGCACGCCCGAGGACGTCTCGCAAGTACCGCGGCCTTTGCCGGGCTCATCAGGGCTGGCGTCGGTCGGGTAGGTGGAGTCGAGCCACAGCATGTTGGAGTAGTGGTCGTCCCACAGCGACATGACGAGCACCATGGGGGGCGGCGATGCCCTTGCTGAACTGGGCCATGCCGCCCTTGTCGTTGAAGGTATCCTTATCGTTGAAGGCTACCTTCTGCGACTTGCAGAAGTCGGCCGTAATGCTGTTGCCCGGGTTGCCCCTCGATGGTGCTCTGGGGGGGTCTCGATCACCTTGCCGTTCTGCACGTAGAACCGCTTGATCTCGGACAGCTGGGCCATTGCTACCCTTGATGAACTGCGTCACAACCGTGAACTTCTTGTTTGTGTCGACCGTCATGCCCGGGCCGTAAAAGTCCTTGACACCTTGGCGGTATGTGTTGAAGTCGCAACCATCGGGATCGCAAGTACCCGCATACCTCGTCTCAGAGTAGGTCCCGCCGCACGCATCGCCCTCGCAGCGGTGCTGACCAACGGTGGTACAGGGGTGAGGAGTGTAGGCGGTCGAGATGGAGTTCGCCTCCCTTTGTCACGTCAGAAGGCACTTCTATCATCGATAGAGTGAGGAAGGCAACCTACCAGATATCCATCTCAGTGCAGCAGGAGCCGTACTGGCCCACACCAGCGTTCTGATCGTTCGATGACTCCTTCCAGCCGGCAACATTGGCTTCGCCATTGATGAACTTGAGGTCGCGCGGGCACTGGGCATCGCAATAGCCAGTACCGTACTTGGCTCCAGCCTTGTTACCCGAGTACTTGGACTTGCCACCGTCCTCGTCCATAGAGACGAAGTACAGGGCGCCGTTGAGGCCGCATCTAGCATTGATTTAGCCTTAACCAGCTCAGTAACAGATACTCGCCTTCACTTACCCGAGCTTGGATGTGTCAACGTCAAAGGTGAACTCGTTGCCGAGCAGGGTGAACATCTGGTACTTGTCCGCGCCAGCCATCAGGTACAGGCGCGAGCCGATGTTGGTAGCTGCCAAATGTCGTTAACAATTCAACGTCCCGCCAATCTAGCACAGAAGTTCACATACAGTAGTCACCCTCAGTGACGAACTTAAGGGTCAAGGCATTGCCGCTGGTCGACGCGCCGTACGTGCCGGGGTAGTCGGCACCGTCCAGGGCGCAGTTGGAGGCGCAGGACTTGTCGTCCTTGCAGATGGTCGAGTTCCAGGCGTTACCGCTGTAGCAGTTGGTGTAGCCGTTCTTGTCGTGGACCCAACGCCAGTTGGAGTCGATGGTCACCTCACCGTTCACGTTGGTGCAGGAGCCGCCGGCACTGCACTTCTGCCAAGTCATCTTGGGGTGCGTCTCGGTCGTCTCCGTCCCCACCACCTGGGCAGCAGCCGGGCCCAGGAGGGCGGCCAACGCAAGGACCTTGGAGAGCATCTTGAACGGAGGCTAGAAGGCAAGGGTAACCGGAAGTTGGAGGGATGCGAGGGTGATGTCGGTGGCTTGCCCGGAAAGGAGGAAGCGACCCCTTTTATGGCTTGCCATTATCTCGTTGAAGATAAACGCCGCAACCCCCGTTTGGGTTGTTGCCCGCAATATATGACCTGCCTCTGCGGCAGGATATAGGTTTCGGCCGGATGGGCCTGGCAGCCGATACATATTCGCTCATAAAAAGTCGAGGGTAAGGACAAGCGTCAGGCACGAAAAGAGCTCGGCCGAATAACCAGCAGTATCCTACCGCATAAAAGGTTCAGACGCAATTTATTATCGCAACACGCGCTATCCGTGTCACTTATATCCTTGGCCCCCGATCCGAGCGTGTTCCGAGGGCCCGAAAGGCAATACCATCCCGGCCAACAGACCCATCCCTAATAACCTGGGGCTCGACACCCAAGGGTATACTTGGTACACACGAGCCTCCCGAGGAAATATGTGCCGTTGACCGGGGATAGACTGGGCATGCTATCCATTGGGCATCCGTTCTTACTCTTGTGTTCTCGGACTCTCCCCAGTGGCGCTTTGTTCTTGGAGTGATAATCCGTCACACGTATGAAGAGAAAGAAACCACAGAGAACCGGGGTAGGCCTCATCCGGTCTAGACCTCGCCGGAGGCCAACTCCCTTGTACTTCCCCAGATTCGGATGGGCGTGTATGGCTTGGTACCGTCAGCTTCCTGTGGGGACGGTATAGAAGGGCCGAAGCGTTGCGTGTGGGGAAGCGAGAGGGAAGAACTAGGGAAACCAAAGATGGGTAGATTACGGGGGATAGAAGCCGGCAGGTGAAGCGAGGAGTGGGACGTTGCCTTTCCGACCGCCCCATGCTGCAGTGCGGTTGGCGCTACCGTCGGCTGGCGAGCAAAGGAGGCCCACTTACACACTTCATGGTACCGCACGGGAAGACCAACCGTGTCGAGGACCTAGAGATGCCGGCTAAAGGATTCTTTGAAAAGCTGAAGTAGGTAAGATGATGTGAAGGTCAAGAGCGTTGAAAGAGGGAACGTTTGTTGAACCAGGTTCGACGAGTGATCCAGTGGAAAGTTGTTGGAGAAGGTGAGAATAAGGTGATATTCCCCGAACTTGGCAAGAGCCTCATTCCTAGGCGCCGAGCACTGAGAACCGCTGAGGTGGAAAGGTTCAGGACAACCGCCATGGCTAGAACGCGTGATGAAACCCTCAGATTGGCGGTGGATATTGGGCAAGCTTGGTTGGAGGGTAGACAAGCATACACTAGAGCATGGGGGCTGTGGAAAAGAGTGCCCGGGCTTGCCTAGTTCATGCAATCCGACGGTTGAGATTTCCAGCCGCACCATCTAGGAGCCTGGGGCGACAACCGTTCCTCTTGTGTGGAAATGGTAGGCGGGCGAATGAGGACTCGGGCTGATATAAACAGCCTGTCGAAAATATATTGGCTGCTTGGCTGCCTTTAGCCATACTACAACCCCGAAAGCAGTCTCACCCCAAGAATAACCGCCAGAACTAAGTCCCGTCCGACAAAATGGCGAGCTGAGGCCGCATCACGAACTATCGCCGATTGCGGCGCGGTGTTATCTGTCTCTGGTCACTGTCAGATTTGTTGGCGGGTGTGCGTTTCTGGCGGAGCGGATGCTGAGTCCCCGTGGAAGTTGACATGATCTGACGCCTTCATCAACTCGATAGACTACCCGCACTTGCAGGCGGCTCGGTGATGGTGGTGATAGTAGTCCGGGAACATCTCGAATCAAGCCCCGACATCGCAAGGGAGGGGGGCGTGCAGGGAAGCAGACCTAAACCCGGGCCGTCATCTCGGGAATTCTGCTGGGTCTGCATCAAGTGTCAGACGCAAAGCTCATAGTCGGGGTAAGTCTCCGCAGCTTTTGGGGCTATGAAGCATTCGGATCGTTTGATGACAGTTGAATAACAGGTGTTTCTCTTCTCATAGGGGACATAGTTTCAACCCCGCCCCCCATCGACATATTAAGTGCTGAGGTGTACAAGAAGGAAATGAGCACCTTATTGCTGACTCCTTCATTGGAATGCCAATGTTGGTGATTAGTGATTAAAAGAAAAAAAAGAAGAAAAAGTGAAACAGACTTCGAATGCCGAAACAAATCTGGGGGAAGGAGCGAGGAGTAAAATGGAAAGAAAGGGGCTAGGGTTGGTTGCACATGTACACGGACATGCCACTCAATACTGCCAGTGTTCTGAGGTCATACCAGCCCCACCCACACCGTTCAACAACCCGGGTCCTCAACCACCAAACTCAGCTATATAGCACGTAAACCAAACAAACCAAGATGCCGATCCGCGGCCCAGTCCACGCCAAGCTTCACAAGAAGGACGCCGCCGAAACCCTCCACGTCGGCCCCTTGACAATCCGCATTTACGAAGATGGCTCCCTGACCGAGAACCGGGTCAGTGGTGTGCTACTCGAGATACCCGCCGGCAAGAGTGGTCCGCCGATGCACTGGCACCGGTTCCACGATGAATTGTTTCTCGTAATCAATGGTGAGTCTGATATGGCCTTGGGAGGCATGCAGCAGCTGATTGTTGACGGTTGTGGCGTGTGGGGTAGGGTCTATGACGTTCGTCACGCCCGACGGTGAGGTGACAGCTTCGGGGGGCGACCTCATGACCGTTCCTCCCGGAGCGGTGCACACGTTCAAGAATGCATCCGACACGGAAGACTGTGAGTGTTACATGACTGCCACGCCGGGACACTATGTGGATTGTAAGTTTTGACTTTTGACTTCAATCTGGCAAAGGGATTCTGTTGACTGAGGGTATAGACTTCCGGATGTTGGGCAAAGCGGCGGAGGGCTGGGAAGCAAGCTCAACTTCGGGCGATGTCGAAGCATCTAATGGCATTGTTTGGTACATTTCCCTCCAAACGAAGCATCAGTGCCATGATCAGGGGGTCAAGCCAGGATGCTGGAGATACAAAGAGAAACTGAAGGTCCTAGGCTTTCCCATCAATACATCGACCGTTTCCCTTGCAGCCTACCAGAACGCCGCCCCACTGGCTCGGTATTGCTGGATACCGTGGTTGTATATTCTGTCTTGACTGTCTTCGCTTTACCGGTTGCAGCCTTCTTCGGGCCAGCTCAACTCTTATTGACTGGCGGTTCCTCCTACTCGGCTTTCCGCTTCTTCTTGCTCTGCGGCTGGTCATCTTCGACCTTGACGGCCTTTGACTTGGTGGCTTTCTTAGGCTTGGCTTCCTCTTGATCAGATTCGATGATCTCCTCCTTGGCACCAGGCACGACGCGACCGCTCTTCTTTTGCACACCCGGCGCGTAACAGCTGGTTCTTCCGCCAACTGTTAGAAATGCCAGCTTTTCGCCGCTGGGTAAGTGGCCCGCGGCGCCTTTCTGGCCCTTGCCCCACCGATAATGGAACATCCAATCTTTAGGAAACTGATCCGAGTCCCCGAGCTTGTCAACGGCAAATTGACACACGTGGCGGATAGATTTGTAGAGACTCTTGATCTGCTCGTCACCGAAGTCATCGCAATATTGTTCCGGGTGGAGTTTTGCCTGGTAGAGAACTTCGTCCCCGACCCAGTTGCCGACCCCACTGATGACGGCCTGGTCGAGAATGAGCGCCTTGATAGGCACGTGCCGCGACTTCATCTTCTGTCGGAGATACTCCTCAGTAAAGACGTCAGTATCGACGACTGGGTCTGGCCCGTTCTCTACGAGCGGCGAGTGCTTCCTGATGCTTTCGCCCGGGCAATCCACCAGCCGGACACCGGCCGAAGCGTCGGGGGTCGGTAAAGGCGACTTCGACTGCCGGGTCTTCGGTTGTTAGGTGGAATTTCCAGTGTTTTGGTGGCCACGCGTTCAATTCTTCGGGCTTCATCTTCTTGTAGTAATTGGTGTATGCTGTCTGGTCGCCCTTGATGTGGATCCAGCCTGTAGGGAGGATTAGTTACGCCATAGACGGCTAAGCGAGGACAACCGTACCAGTCATGCCGAAGTGCATTACGGGATGAGGCGATTCATCAAGAACAAGCCTTTACTCGGTTAGCCGCCTTGAACCCCTTTGAGAATCGGGCGGCTTACCAAAAGTATTTGCCCTGTGTTCCCGCTGAGACGACCTTCTTCCCGGTTAATGCCTTCACAACTTCCGCCCCAGTCGTCCCAACTTTGCCAAACACATTGGTGTCTTCTATCGCCGTAACGTTCTTGATTGTCTTGCCGACCAAGTGTAGACGCAGATAGTGCACCACCCGGGCGACTGGTTGTTTGTCAGCGGAGAATCTATCGAAGTCACTGCTCAAACATACTCTCAGCAATCTCAGGCATGGTTGTGAATGTATTGCACTGAACCAAGATTTACACCTTTTATGTCGTCGGGATACGCTGGATTTGGATTCAGTAGTTACCCGGCGGTTCAGTTTCCTTCCCAACAAGTAAAGGAGTGGCGCGCGTCAGCGCAACACGAAGCAGCGGAGTGGACGGCTGGAGCCTGACCCCCAAGGAAACGCGTAACGGAAGCGTCATCACGTGAGCTTAGGATAGCCAGGTCCCATCCTTCCTACGGACCCACTCCACCGCACCGGAATTTTCCACCTTCTCCACAATCGAAACCAGCTTCAAAAACTCTGAACCTGCAGCTTTTTCTGTTTCGCTTTTTCAATACCGAGCACCACCTCCAGCTTCTGGTAAGTCCCTATTTTTCTTTTTCGCGACGCGCAGCAGGCACTTGCCTGATGACAACCCAACACCGCAAACTAGAGTCTTTGATCTACGGACATGAAACTAGAAATTGTAACGTCAGTCTGAACACTGCCGCTGCCGCCGTCGCTTTTACCTATTCAGTTAGTTGCATCGGTCGAGAAGCTGACAGAACGAACAGAGCTCTAGTTTCCACGAGCCCCAGCTGCTGGGCGGGATGTATGAGGATGGCCTAGAGCACGGCACCATTGCCACAATGAGGCTGTCGGGCAACTGATTTGGGGCATGGCACGCGCTTGACAGCATTGGCGACTTTGCGACATAGTCATCGGGTTAGTACCGCTTTTCCAACTCTCGCACTCGATTTCATGATGATCTTTCTTTGCTTCGGCAAGTTGGAATTACCGACTGATTCCCCTTGAAGAAAACAATTGGCTGTTTCTGATTTTCACCTTTCTCTCCTTCCCTTTTGACCAGCTTGCCGTGAATGCTCGGTTGCTAATTGTTAACTCAGGTCTATTACCCCGCTTGAGTAAGTGACAACCTCTCAGCCGAACCTCGACGTGCTCCATGATGAAGCGGCACTGGGCTCCGATTTCCTATGAGCAGATATGCCATTTTTGCGACAGGCCTAGAAAACCTCGTCCACTGATCAGCACCTCGCATCGTTGTTGCTTGCATCAATTGCATGGGGAACTCGAGCTAACCGGCTTGAAAAACGGCAGCCCTCCGGTCAACGCTTTGTCATGGCAGCCACGCTACTGGGTAAGCTTACATTTCGTGCATTTCTTTTCTGCCCTCTTTTTCTGTGATGACTCTAGATGACGAGTCTGATTCGGGATTCCCGCTGAAGACAAAAACTTTTAACTACCATTCATGCCTTTCTGATATTTTATCGACGGACATCCGCGATTGCATTCCTAGCAATGAACTTTGCTAACCATCATTAGTTGACCGCGAAGCCAATGAGTGGTGTTCGATCATCCAGCGTAGTTTGGCAGTTGAGGTATGTGTCGGCTTGGTATTTCACTCTTGCTTCCCTGCACTGCTCATGATGACTCGACTTTAAAATTGACAAGCATATGTCGGAGCTCACGCGAAGATGACACCGTCCATGTCTGATCCCGCCCTGACACATCACACCGTTTTCTCACTCTAGATGAGCGAGCGCTGACTGTCTCCCTCAGATTACGCTAGACTGTCGACAAACTCGCACCCGTACTCAAGACAAGGTAGAGGGTAAGCATCATCTCATCTCACTTCCCCCGTGGCTTTTATGATGATTTAAATTTTATCACGACGGTCTACATAGCTTATGCGTTGATGAGACTGCCGGTGACACGGCTTTGATTCTGATAAAGTCACTCAACCACTTGCTTGCTCTATCACTCAATGTTCTGGGGCTAACATGCACAAGATTTTAGGATGCTCGAACTTCGGTCACCTTCCTGTCGCCATGATATCGCACGGCTTACCGAGGACATCCGGTCAGTATCCCCACTACCAAACGGCTGCTGTGATGACATAATATGCCCGTGAAGCCTCATCTGTTGTTCGTATGTTGTCGTGTAGTCCAATGCCGCGCTTAATTGATGCTTGCCGACACCGGAAGCTCACGGTGCAAGATAGCCAGACAGTCAGCAAAAGCTCAAGTCAATAAATAAATCGTACAAGTCTATGCCTTACCCACTTTCCCGTGATGACCGTCTCACCCAGCTCCCGCTAATGTTCCTCCCAAAACCACGCAGTGCCACTAACACCACTTATCATAATTGCCACACCTGAACTCCTTTAATGTCACACACAACAGTCTACCGCTTGTCCTCCCATCAGTCAATACACCCCCCAAAAACTCCCCGGCCCAAAAACAAACCAATATCAACGACGAGCTCCCCGCCCCCCTGCCTGCTGCTGGGTGGCGGACCCATTGCCGTTACCAGGCGCGCCGCCGCCACGGCCGTTACCATTAGCGCTCCTCGTCGCCAGGTTGGCGGTCTGATTAGGACCGGGGCCGGGGGGAGGGTTGGGACCGGGAGCAGGGTTGGTACGCGGAGGCGAAGGCGCTCCTGTCCCGTTCCTGCCGGGCGTCGCAGTGCCTTGCCGTGAAACGGCCGTGTGCGCCCCGGACGCGTTGCCCGTGCCGGTGGTCGGCCTGGCGTGGTTGTTGTTGTTGCCGGTGGTGGCGATGATGGCATTGGGCGGCGGCTGCGGGGTTGTGGGCGTCCCTGAACGAGAGGGGGTCTGGTGGGTGGCAGTAGAGATGGTCGGCCTGGGGTGGCTGTTGCCGGTGGTGGCGGTGGTGGCATTGGGCGGCCGCTGCGGGGCTGTCGGCGCTGCTGAGTGAGGACGGATCTGGTTGGTGGTGGGCGATGGTGGCGGCATTGAGTGTTCGCTGCGTTG